TCATCAATAATGCAAATTCGTAGTCTTTTGTGTGGTTTTGGTGTTTGATTAAGATTAAAAGAGTAGCAACTAATATGAACAACCGTCATGTGACCACAGAGCACATGCTCTTGGGCCAGTTCATGACCCATCTCTATGGGTGCCTTTTGCAAAACACATGCCGGGTTCAAAGTAGGCGGTTTGTTGGGTAATTTTGGACGCAGATTAGGACACTCAATGAAGGCATGTTGCCACATTATTCCTTTTTTCCTACCGTTATCCAAAAACAGGTAGCCAGGAGTGCCCCTCCCTCTAACCCAGCGACGCAATGAACCGTGAGTTAACGTCGTTCTCACGGTGTTAACGTACTCATATACGCGTAGGTACGCGTGCGGTGTTAACGTACGCATTGCAATGCATAATTATGTCACAAAAGATCATGTGAGTACATGCAAAGGTATGTCAGGTCATCCAAAGGTCAATGACCTATGTTCCTCGTAGCGGAGAGGCCAGATGAACGGGACGCGGGACGCGTGCAACCACCTCCTTACGGTGTTGGTGAAGCCGATGATGTCTAATTTCGTGTACCAGCGCACCTGTTCTCAGTTTATTACAAATGCATTGCCAAGCGTCAAAGGGACTATGTATAATGTAGACAAAAGCCATGTGACCTTGATTACCTGTAAGTGTACAATACACTATTTCTGACAACAGAAAGACATTGTATCTTTGCAGAAGGGAAAACATTGCATTTTTCGTGACGTCTGGTGGCCTTACAATTGACCTAAGGTCGTACACGTGGTATGCATTATTCATGATTTGACGAGACCTCCAAAACGGTATCTTTGCTTTTCGTATACGGTGTCTAGAAATTGGAGATCTGGGTGAGAGGCCAAATTGCTCCCCAGCCATAAACGGGGTGAGTAGGGGGGAGGGTAGGGGAATCCATAGAATAAACTTGGTCAAAAGCGCATCGTGAAGAAAAGTATCGTCTTTGTAGACTACACCTGATCTGACTCGATCCACGTGGGAGAACAACCATTGTCGGAATGGTCTCTCAGAACCTTAAAGGAAATGTTTCACTTTCGAAGACATTGAAGCGGGTATCCGATATGATTAAGCATGGGGGCTTGTACCTATTGGTTATTGAGGGCCAACTGACGCCTTTAATCTGGAAATCGTGCACTCGAACGCCAGACATGAAGCCCTCGACACGCATATTTTTGTCGCCCTCGATCGCCGCATAGCTTATGGAATGGCGTTATTATGACGTCATGAATGCCAGAGTGACTTTGAAATACTCTCCCCGAAATACTCTCCTCCATTTTCGCGGGCGAGGAGCTCACAAACTAGAAGGTCTTGGGTCTTAAGGACAAGGTTGTGAGCAGCACCGAAAGGTATTCAGGCTGGCTATTTCAGTTCAAAACCCCATACAGATGTGGAACACCACTTTCAACGCTTATGTCCGTGCTCTCCAGATCCGTCTTGGCGTATCAACATAGGTTTTAACTGCGTCTATCGGATCAAAGTTTTTAACCTTTCATGACCTTTAGCGACCTAACGTTTGACCTACGATCAAAATATTAGCATGTATTTTGCATGATTTGACGGGACGTTCACAACAGTTCCTTGGTTCTTCTTTCACGGACTTCTGAAAGTTGGAGATCCCAGGGGGAAGTCAGCTCACCCCGGCCAGGCGCGGTCGTCTCAGACCCCGGTCAGACGCGGTCGTCTCAGACCCCGGCCAGACGCGGTCGTCTCAGACCCCGGTCAGACGCGGTCGTCTCAGACCCCGGCCAGGCGCGGTCGTCTCAGACCCCGGTCAGACGCGGTCGTCTCAGACCCTGGCCAGGCGCGGTCGTCTCAGACCCCGGTCAGACGCGGTCGTCTCAGACCCCGGCCGGGCGCGGACTAAAGTTGTTCAATTTGTGCAACCTGGCTGACGGGTCTGTCATGTCTACCTTGGTTTTTCTGTTACTGGTGCTTATGCTGTAATAAATAAAATAATGAGTCTGCCCTGACTGGGTTGCGTTTGGGAACACACTTGGGTTTGGAGTGATTTAAAAACGTCAAGAATAACAAGAGAGAGATAATATTCTCGGCAATTTTGACCTGCAAGATTCCGCCAAGTCCAGCCCATAACTCCGCCAACAGCCTGCGGGTAATTGCGGATCAGATCCTGGCAGCTTGACGGGTTGAAAAGTTACTACTCTGATGCAGACCAGACCAGTTTGGGAATTTCACAAGACTTCTGAAAAACATCATGTATGGACCAGAACGTCAATAAGACGAAGTGGTTACTTGGAATGGCATCCTGAAGTGGACGACCGAACTGCTCTGTCTAAACGCAGCTCCCGTGTTTTTCACGAATGGAGAAATTGTTCGAGTGTCGTGCTCTAATGTGTTAGTATGTACACAACGTTTTAGCCAGGAAAGTGAACAGCAGTTGTCGGTTGAGTGCTGTGAGGGACTGGATGGTGTTTGGCCTTCCATCATGACTGCGTCCCAAACCGAATTTCCTGCTTAAAATTCCTGAGACTCAAACCGGGTTCCCCCGACTGTGAGTCGCACGCTCTACCAACTCAGCTGATCGGAAATGACAAACAGGTAAATTGGTAAAGCGTTGGACTCACAATCCGAACTACCGGCCTGAATGCCAGCAAAACCTAAGGTAATAGATCGGCCCGTGACGCCTGAATGGCTGAGAGACAAACACCAGTTAGTACCTGAATGGCTGAGAGACAAACACCAGTTAGTACTTGAATGTCTGAAAGACAAACACCAGTTAGTACTTCTCAGGGCTGGACTATGAGATGACACTTCTTGGGTAAACAGCGTAGCGGTGTATAAGGGGCAAATAACCTGGTGCTCATCAACGGATAAATTAGTCCCGAAAAGCGTAGCGCGCAATTTGTGTTTTACGTCCAGTACATTTAAGATGTCCAGTTATGTTTTTTGTGGACAAATTCCTACTACGAGAGCATCAGATGGCTCTTATTTTCTACAACATACTTCTCAAGGCTCGATAACACCAGGCGAGCGCCAGAGGAATAACTCGCCAAAACGTTGAGCACGGAATGACACTCCAGACAAGGATGACACTCCGGGCAATTAATCCATCCGTGATACCAATACCTCGCCTGAATACTTCGGTAAAACCGCTGATCTGGTTTAGGCAGCTACCACCTACTCGACGCTTGCAGCTACCCAGCAGGATACTTACCTGCTCAGAGTATCGAGTATAATTTAAGAGTCGTCTCAGGTATGCCTAGAACATTGTCAGTATCGATTTTTCAGAAAAACTCTCGCTGTAAGAAAGACTTAACCACTATCAAAACATCCTACTACTGTTTTAGCAGGCAGCTGCCATCTATGGCCAACCATCTATGGCCAGCAATGAGTCCACGAGTTTGCTTCACATTAAACCGGCGCTAGATGCCATAAAGCTCTCAGTTTTTAATCGGTCATGCCCCAGACCAGAGGGCATGATCAGGACGGCGAGCGGTCCCTGTCCGTGAATACTGTCCGATGCGTCTGTGTCAACTCCGCGTTTTTTTTTACTCGGATGCAGAGCAGTGGAGGGAATTACGGCAGTAA